ATTCCTGTTGTTAAATAAATCACCATGGCTCCTCAAGTGGGGACATCACGTTGTCACCATTTTTAATCTCCTGCCAGCTTCCCTGTTAACTTTGCTTAAAGAAAGCTAGCAAAAAAAGTTGCAAATGACAGTCCTTAACCACAGGAATGCTGTGACCAATATAACTATAAGGATTGCTTGTAAATACCAGTCATTCAACACTGTCATAAGTTCAATAACCATATAAATGATTGCTGGATCAGTGGTCATTAAGCAGGGACATCTGGAAATTTGAATGTTAAAAAATCCAATAATTTATCATTTCCATTGTCATTTTTTTGATTTCTGTAGTTTAAGCTAATCTTGTTGCAGTTTTTACAATGACTAAAACAACCTATTCTTAATTTATACTTGTGTTTCATTTGTTCCAGAAAAAGAAAAAGCACTTTTACAAGATAACATATTCTCTTTTAAATCATCTTTGTTACCTTTTCCCTTCCGCCAATTTATTTTTTCATTAAATAACTTTTCAATACTTTATGAGCACTAAGATGAAATAATCTGATGAATTTGGGAAATGGAGTCACTTAACCATAATTACCAGTGACAGCCATTTTTTTCTGAGAGAACGTCATACATATAATAGGACAAGAACAACACAAGTTCGAATCTGGGTCGGTCACTGGGACCAGAGATTTGCACTTTTGAGCTTTCGGACTCATGCTGGAGCCCATCTTCAGGGAACTTCTTTCTACTGGAAAGTCTAAAAGCTTGGAAGAGTAAATCTATGGTCAATCTTGCACATTATCTTGCAACACATATTTGCTTTCATTCGTAAGACCAACACAATTTAATGTTAGCTTAATCTAACGTCCTAAGAAAGCAAAATAACTAAAGTTAGTTTAAAAATAACAATGTCAAGATGGTGAATTCAGCACAAGCTTGAGGCCGAAACAACAGATCCAAACAGGCAAACAGTTTGTGAAGTAGCACAATAGTTAAAATAACAATTCTGGAAAATTCTTAACTTTTTGGCCAATGACTCTAGAAGATCTGCAGTAAGAGAATTTAAAAATTCTGCATGGGCTCTCTTACAATATGAAAAAAGTAACAGAAACAGCATTGCTATCACATATTATCTTATAGGTAATTGACAGCTCCCATTAGAAAATTCCTTATAATGTCTAGTCGGCAACTACTTTAACAATCACTGATTCTGATCCTGCCCTCTGGGGTAACAAAGAACAAGTTCACTCCTTCCTCTGTAAATAATAATCCTTTAACTATCTGAAGACTGCAGTTCTATTTCCCCTCAATCTTTTCTTCTGTAGGCTAAACATGACTATGTGCTGGTTTGTTGATATCCTTTCCAAACTGCAGTGTCCAGAAGTGGATACAGGATTCCAAATGGAGATTGATCATATAAAATATAAGATTACTTCTTATGAACAGGACTCTATGTTCCTGTTAGATATATTCCAAAATAGCAATTGCTTTTTTAACTGTTGCAGCAGTTATTGTTTCAGATGTATATGTAATTAGCATCTGTTGCATATAGTGTGAAACACCTTGAACCATAAAGGCATTAGATTGAAAACTATTTCTCCAGATCAACAGGTCCTTAACCGATTTTATCACGTCTAGATTCAGTCTTCTTTTTTTTTTTTTTTTTATTGAAAATTTTTAAATTTTACAAAAACAAATCCCCTTCCCATACCCCCCCCAACCCTACCTCACCCCCCTCCTCCCCAACCTCCCAAACCCTCCCCTGGACTTCCCAGAGCTGAGTACAGGCTTAATTGAGAAAAAAACTTAAAACACTTTTAAAACCTAAACAAATTTAAATACAATCATCATTCTATATAAACTCCCTCCAAAAACGCAAATTTAAACATTACTTTCTTTGAATATCTATACCTATAATGTAAAATCTAATTTCTCCCTCTTTCTTTATCCTAATACAAAAAAATAAATATATAAACCTTTGTTATACCATCAAAACTAAATACTCTTAGAAAACTTAAAGTAAATACATATTTCCTTCAATCTTCATAATCTTCTCACCTATCCAAAAAAAAACTTAAAAATCCTAAACAAATCTAGACACATTTAGTTAAACAAATTATTTTCTCTTAAAGATATTAATAATAATATTTAAAAACTTGAAACACTTTTGAATCCTAAACAAATCTAAATACAATCATCATTCTATATAAACTTCCTCCAAAAACACAGATTTAAGCATTACTTTCTTTCCTAAACAAATCTAGACATTTAATTAAACAAATTATTTTCTCTTAGAAATATTAATAATAATATTTAAAAACCAAATTTAAGCATTACTTGGAACTTAAACAAATTATACTCCCTTCAAAACACAAATTTATTAGAATCCCCTCACTGAAATAAACAAATTATAATCCCTTCAAAACACAGGTTTAAACAATATTATCATTAAAGGTTTAAAACTTAAAACTGAAATATATTATTATCCCAAAACACATATTTAGACATTACATAAGACATTTTCCAAAAACGATGTAAGTTTTACTTCTCCCACAATCTCAATAGTAAACTTCTTGTCTAAAGTTCTCATTCAATGTCCATAATTTTCTGTCCGATAACCAGTTGCACCCACTATAAACACAAACTTCTTATCTAAAATTTTCATTCAATATCCATAATCTTCTGTCTAATAGCCAGTTACATCTACTATAAGCACAATCCATATCGGTTTCTCTTGCCCGCAAGCATCGAAAAAAATGCGTGGAATTCTGCCCTTGAAGATCGCTCCAAAGAGTTTGTAAGTCCTGGTTGACCCACAAGCTCAGGAATCAGTACCTGTGAAACTTCCTCAACCTCCTTCTTCTGTTGGTCTTTCTCTTTACATTTATATGTTACTTTTTCTTTACATTTATATGTTGCACAAGTCTCAGGGACCGATACCTGTAAAACTTCCTCAGTGAATTCCTCCTTGTGTTGATCTTCACAATTATAAGTTGTACAAGTTATCCTCTGCCCGTTCCTCTCTTGTTGGTGCCCCTCAAGCTGAAATTTCCCAATTTCCATTTCAGGCAGCAATTCCACCCTTGAAGATTGCTCCAGAGACTTTGTAGGTCTAACTTCTCCCAGAGATTCAGAGACCTTCTTCTGTTGCTGCTTTTCTTTGCAATTGTATGCTGCACAAGTTGTCTTCTGTTCCTCAACCTGGACTTGTTGGGGCCTCTCAAACAAGGGTTCCCCAATTTTCATAAATATAGGCTCTTCAAGCTGTAATTCTACATTCTTTTCTTCCAAAGCTTTAAACTTAATAGATGGCGATACACATACCCCCAGGACCGAGGTATAAAAATCTTTTGCTTGAGAAACAGTATTAAGTCTATAACATGTCCCCAGGTGGTTCACCACCATTCCAGTCGGGACATCCCATCTGAATAGTATTTTTCTCTTTTTAAGTTCATTTGCTAGAAAAGCAAACTCCTTTCTTCTTCTTAAAATTTTAGATGGGATCTCCTTAAAAATTATAACATCTTGTGAAGCAATTTGAAATCTCTTCTTATAATAGGCTTGCACAATTTCATTGCGTAGAGATTTTTTACCAAAGTAAATTACCACATCTCTTGGCAGATTCTTCTGTGCTGCCACCACAGAATTAACCCTGAATAATTTTTCAATTTCACTAAGTATTCCCTCTTTTTCTTTATTCAAAATCAATGCAAAGTCCTTTGCAACCATCTCTTTCAAATTTCCTTGCAAAGACTCTTCCAGGCCCCTGATTCTTAAGGCATATTCCATTTGTCCATATTGAAGCATAAGAATTTCATTTTCCATCTCTTTTTCCATACTTTCAATTTTCCCCTCCATTATCTCCACTTTTTCATCTACCTCTTCCACATGGGAGTTCATCTTTTCAAGAACAGAAGCAACTCCTTTTAAAGCCAAAACAAAGTCTTGTCTCAAGATCTTATTGTTTTCCTCTAAAATCTTTTTCATTTCTGCCCTAATTTGAATTATGACATCTCCCATCATGTCTTGCAAATCCTTCATAGTTGTTAGCTGACCCCCAGAAGAGGGTGAGACTGTTAATTTAGAAGCTGTAGAAATCCCTGGACGCTTTGGAGCCATCTTAAAAAAAAAACCCTTTAGTCCTTCTTAAAAAATTATAAAAATTCCTTCAAAAATCATAACTCCCTCCAAAGAAGGTCATTATAATAAAAAGAAAAAAGGGGGGAAAAAAAAGAAGAGAAAAGGAATTAAAAAAGCTTTACTCCTCCTTAAAAATTGCAAAAATTAAGCAAAAAAAAGGAGTTAACTCCATGAATTCAAAAAGAAAGAGGGGGGGAAATCCTTCAAAAAGGGGTCATTGCAATAAAAGGAAAGGAGTTCAGAAAAAAAGAAAAGAGAGAAAGAAAAAAAAAGGGGGAGAAGAAAAAAATAATTAAATAGAAAAGGTCCGTTCCATTTTTTTTTTAAAAAAAATACTTAGAGATACCAAAAACAAACACAAAGATTAAACAAAAATAATAATTCTAACAGTCCATTCCAATCATAAGAAAATAAAAAAGGAAAAGGGAAAGGAAAAAAAAAAAAAAAAGCACCAAAAAGCCTGCCGGTCAGCATTCTAACTTCCAAAAAAAAAAAAAAAACACCGAGAGATTTGCCGATCGCCATTTTACTTTCCCTTTCAGCAAAGAAGGAGAAATAAAAAGAGAGAGTAAAAATAGAAACAAGTCTTAAAAACTTAAAATCCAAATAAGTCAAAGAAAGCAAAAACTAAATCCTCTACTCAGCTCTGTCCGTTTAAAAAAAAAACTCACCAGTTCTCTTTAAGCACGGAGGTGTTTGCAGCGGCTCGTTTTGTCCCTGAGGACAAAAACAGCTGGGAAGCGGAGACAAGTCTGAACTCCGTGGGAGCACTCCTTTCACCCCCCAAAAAAAGGACTTGGGGGGTGCAAAAGAGGCTCTACCACTATTCAGACACTCTCTGCCCCCCCCTTTGCCCGGGAGGGGGATTTTGAACCGCTGAACAGCTGATGTCTGCTGTTCATAGCAGTTCTTACACTTACCCAGGAGGACGGCTACAAAGTAGCCGCCATCGCGCGCGCAAAATCCACCGGAAGTCCGATTCAGTCTTCTTTAAGACTATGATCATCTAAATATTCTCTATGGGGAAAAACACACAGTTGTAACAGGTTTTCTAAAAATTATTTTGAGCAGCATTATTTTGCAATTTTTTTTTGTATCTCATCCTAGCTGTTTTTTTAAGTACCAATAGTTTTAAACCATATTTCTTTACTATTATAAATCTGCTAATTAAAAATAGAATGAAAATTAGAGCACTGTCTTACCATTACTGATACCAGAATTTGCAATAACTGTCACCTCATTCCACTGATCAGCACTAGAAACTGAATAGGATCGTTGATGCATCCCATCAGGTCGACTGTTAAAGGAAACAAGACTGATGCCACTTGTCATATGAGACACAGATGTACTAGTAGTCACATTTCCTAGAACAAGAGGAGTGTGAAGTTATCAATGAAAATGTAGAAATGCACATCACGGCAATAAGAACAAAAAATAAATCCTACAACGTAGGAAAGTGTATTATCATATCATTGTGATGATACATATATCCTTTCTTCCAGAATCAGCTAAATGCTTTTTATTCAATTATTTAAGTTTCTTTCCAAAAAAATCCCAGCTTCCACTTTCAAAAGATTGCCTCCAAGACATATTTGGTTGGAAAGTTGGAAATCTTCACTTAGTATGCTCCCTGAAAAAAAGATATGTGATTTTTTTTTTCTGATTTCTCCGTCCAATGTAGACACCCACATTACTTTCCCAGCTCTTCTAGGGAATTCCCAATTATCTGAGTTAAATTTTCAGGGTAATGGTAATTTGAGAATATTAAAAATCTGGACAGGGTAATCCAATCATATTATTACAGACCATCATTATTTTGCCCTGATTAATTCTATCTTTTTGTTAAATATTTAGATATTTAAGATATTTTAAAGGCAGACAATCAAAAGCAGCTCCTTGGAATTCAGTGAAAATCTAGCATGTGAATGTATTTATATGTCATACTTAGAAACTGATCATCTCAGAGCAACTCTGGGCAGTGTATGATTAAAAATATAACATATTTTAATATCATATTTCAATAAGAGGCAGTTAAAACAGGAATAAAGTTAAAAGAGCGGGGAGAGGGCCTTCAAGGCACTAGCTAATCCCAAGGTTATAATATGTAGTTAAATCTTCAAATTTTTATGAAAGGCCAGGAGTATGGGGGCTGCTTCACTTTTGGGAGGATGATATTCCAAAGGGCAGGGGCAACAGCAGAAAAAGCTCTCTTCTTGTGCCCCACCAGTCAAAATTCTTTAATTGACTGCTTCCGGTTTTGCGCAGTTAGCGCAACAGCTGAGGGATTGCAGGGTTCCTTGCCCTATGGCTGATTTCTCTCTTTTTGGGGACTCTAAATGGGCCAAGAGCCACCCCGAAGAGGTGGCAAAGAAGGAGAGAAACCCTGCTGGTCATGGAATGATGGTGGTCAATTTGGACGTCCAGGGAAAGCTCTTCAGAAATCAGCAGAAGAAAGGCTAGTGTCATTTGTGAGTCTTGCCCAAGCTACATGCAGCCAAAGCCAAAAAGTACTAAATTAAGTGTGATCGTAAACAGTGTGATTGAACTGGGTAAGAATACTTACTCTTCTACCTGATTGATTTTCTGAAACAAAAACAAAAACCCAGAAATAAAAATTCTTCAAAGTGAGGGGGGGATTTCTACTCCACCCTCCTCTAAACGGAAGCGGCGAATTAAATATTTATTATACAGAAATGAAATCAATATAAGACTTGGAAAGTATGAAATCGATGGATTATGTTATGATTCTCCTGGCAAAAGATTATTGATGGAAATAAATGGTAATTATTTGTTTTGAAAACTGAAAAATGAACTGGTGCTGACATCTAGTAGTGAATGAAAATACTGCCCTTAATAAACAGCCCAGAAAAAACTTATTATTGTGACCTTCAAAGCTTTAACTAAACAAAGAACAGCTGCAATAAAAGAAAAAAACTTTGTGGACTATCTACAAAGTGAGAACTATAAAACTATAAAACCTAGAAAAAAATTGACCTTCCTGGATTATAAATAGTTTTTAAACTGTGACTTTAAAGCAGTTGGCAGAAAAAGGAAAACTTTGATTTTTGGTCATTATGGGGCATCAGCGGTCTGCAGAAAGAATATATCAAGAAAAAATAAATACTTCCCAGGGAAAAATGTATGTTATGTTACAACAAATACAAATGACATTAATTTCAAACCATGAGGAAATTAAAAATAAATTTGAAAACTTAAATGAACACATTCTCAATTTAACGTCACAACAAATAAATGATTAGAAAACAAAAAAAGAGAGAGCTCAAGTAAAGCAGATAACTGAACATAAACTAGTGGAAAGAAACTTGGAGATGCAATTTAATAATGGAAGGAACTGTGATGTAATCCAGATGGAAAAAAGCTTCCAGGAAATACTGGACATGCAAAAGATACCCTATACGTCAAGATTCCAAGAACTTGAGAGAAAAAAGGTGATGGGAAAAACTGAGAGAGAGAAAAAGGAAAAGATTTCTGAGGAATATCCCCACAAAAACACTCTAATTGACTTATCTTTTGTACCGACAACAACATCTACAAAACTACGGCAAGATTTTGGGGTTCAATGGAACATATTGATTAGGAAAAACATTTGCCCCCCCAAAAAAGGGCTAAAGCCAGAATTAAGAAATTAGATGATGGGACTTTTTTGATGGAATACTTAAAGACTAAGCACTTGTTTGAATATGGTGAAAGAAATAAAATTCTGAATACAAATTAATCTTAGCTTAGGAGAGATAGGGTCCTTAAGCAATACAGTATTTTTTGCTTATGATATGAGAAACACAAAACTGTTTGGGATTATTTATATGAGAGAAATGTATTAAATACTTAACTATAATGGATTTTGAAGACTTGAATATGCTTAAAAATGAAACATTGATTATAAATGTATTCTAGTTTAAGAGAGGTATTGTTTTTTAGACAACAATATATACAATATATTGTTCTTTCTGTTTCAAGATATGAAAAATGTAAGTGGGGATGGTTCATATGAGGAAAAAGACTTCAGTATATAAGTATAATTAACTTTAAGAATAATTTTAACAGGTAAAAATGTTTTCTTTTGAATATTGAGGGGAAAATAAATTTAAATGACAACTCTAAAAACAGGATCTATGATAAGGTGATCTAGATGATTAATTAGAACAGAAGCTTAATAATGAGGTGGAGGATATTTGTAGATATTTAATTGTTATCTTCTAAAACTATCAAGAAATGTACTAATTTAAGGTTGATAAAAGAGAATATTATTGGAAGAAGAGAAAATCAAGGAAAGCTGCTAGGTGGAATATGGACTATAGAAACTAACTATTATTGATTGTTTGTAAATATAAACCCAGACAATTCACTGTTTACCAAACACTGATGGTGATATGTAAAAAAAACCCCAATAAAATATATTTTAAATAAAGAAAAAAAAAGAAAAAAACACCTTATGAAATGGAGAAGTTCATTTTCTCATTCACTTAGACCTATTCTTTTATCTTGTTTGTTTAAAGTTTGTTAAGACTTGTGGATCTTTCCCAAATTGATACTGGACACAAATTAATTTGTAAACTACTTTTAGAAAATAAGGAGGTAATGAAACAGCAGCAAGAGGAACAAACATGTAAGAGATAGTATTGGTATTTTAAAAAAGAATGGGTAGAAAGACTACCTAGGTGTATTTCTATATCTTTATAGGTTGGTCCCTATTGCTATTTTGCTGTAGTAGTTAAGAGGCTTAGTTTGCTGTTCAGTAAGTCTTTATAAAGCAGGGGATCCCAACCAGGGGTGTGAGATGATATTCCAGAGGGTGCAACAACTTGGGTTTTCAAAATTATAGTGTATATGCATAATTCGTTGCCATTATTTTGAACTTTTGTAAGTGGTGCGAGTGTAAGGCACCACATTGGGAGTATGGCAGGATCCAGGGAAGGATAAGAATTGGTTTTAGATCAGAGAAGATAGATAGAAAGGAAATATAACTGGATTCTGACAGCGAGAATATATCAGAAGCATTCTTGGGGTGCGGGGTATAGAAAACATTGGGAACCACTGTTATAAAGGATATTTGTGTGGTTGGATATTTGTGGCTGTGTTGTATGTTCCTTTTCTACTGAAAGATAAACAGTTGAGTCATTTGCAGCCTACTAGAAATTTCACGATATTTGGCATTTTAGGGAAAAATCTAATGAATGTAATTGGAGATACATTTTAAATACAAGGATTACTTTGTTCTTAGGAAACAAAAATAAGCTCTGAGAAACAGTGTCTATTTCTTTCAATGGTTACCACAAAATGCTTAATTATTTCTATTTTTATGTATTTCATTGTATGTATATAATATATACATATGCATATTTTATATTTGTTAATATTAAAAGCTGGGATATTTTTTAAAAAACAAAAACAAAACAAAATTCTTTAATTGACAAGGTCCATAATATATTTTTCCTGTCTCACCCACCGGGTGGGACAGGCAATAGGGACAGGTAATAGGGAGGAGATGGTTCCATAGGAAGCCTGGCCTCATGCTGTGTAGGTCTTTAAAGGTCATCATGAACATCTTGAATTGCACCCAGAAGCAAAGTGGCACAGAGTGCAGCTGGTTAAACAGAGATGTGACATGCAGCATCTCTGGGGCACCCAAAATTGCTCACATAGCCGCATTCTGTATCAGCTGAAGCTTCCAGATACATTTCAATAAAAGCCTCCTATTTAGCACATTGCAATAGTCCAGGCGGGAGATGACTAGGACATAAGTGAATGAGAGAAGGGTCTGTCTATCCAGGGTCTGTAACTGGTGGACAGCTTGACGTAGAGCAAAGGTCCTCCAAGCCACAATGTATATACTGATGATACCCCATCCCATGGTGATAGATGAATGCACCCAGTGGTTTCATGTAAATGTTAAAAAGGTAAGGAGAGAGCACCGAGGCCTCTGACCTCCTGCAAAGCAGTGGCCATGGGCCAGAGTTCTCATTTCTTATCAATACCACTTGGGACTGGCTTCAGAGGAAAGAGGTGAATGAGCACAAAACTGTGCCCTCCCCCCAAGCCCCCTAAGTTTGGCCCAAAATGATACCATAGTGCAGTGATGGCCAACCTTTTAGAGACTGTACCCAAACTGCAACCCAAAACCCACATGTACTGTCAGGTGCTGGGTGGGTGTGGCCACCTCAATGTTGCTCATGGGGAGGGATGCCTGTGGGGGCCAGGCAGGGTTGGAGGAGATCCAGGGGGTCTCTGGCAAGTGGGATGGTGGGCAGGAGGCTCATCCTGCGGGATGACAGCACGCATGCCCACAGAGAGGGCTCTGCGTGCTACCTGTGGCACGCGTGCCATAGGTTCACCACCACTGTCA